TTACCTTCTAACAAAATGGTCTATAAGAGAAGGTGTTTCTAATTCTTTTCAGTCTTAGATTCAGACTGAAATAGCTTGCTTAAGAGGCACGCATGTGTGGATAGGTAAGTCCAAAATAATACTGTATTCAAATTAGAATACTCACAAGCCTGAAGTTAGGGATATGCAAATAGCTTTGGCTGAATCGGAGCTCTATATGGCAAGTTTTCACCTCTATTCTTTCATTATCTAGATATCTTGTTGTGCATTTACTTCTGCCCTCTAAAAGTCTCTATTCACTTTTTTTCTGTATTTCCAAAATAACAGAGAGACATAAATCATACTAACACTTTCACTTTCCACAGCATTCTTCATTTAAGGCAGTAAAAGTTCTCACTAACTTTTGACATTTCAGTGACTATTCCATTCTAGTCTCACTGATGTACCTTTCATTACTCTGGGAAATCTTCAAGCATAAACTAGAGAATTTGGTTTTTGTTTTCAAATTGCCCTTATCAACAATTCTTCAACAATAGACCTGAAAAATCAAATCAGTCTACTAAAGTCTACAAGTAACTGCTTTAAGAAAGATTAATATCACAGAGCAAATTTCTTGGTTGTTCCTCCTGTTTGTCTTCTTACAATGACTCAAATTTTATACGCTGTCGCACTGTTAGTGTGCAATAGCGTTCTGATGTATTTTTACAGATATTTTGTAAGAAAAAGTTATTAGAGAATATCTTAGTGATACAAGAGCTCAAAATTGCTCTTTTCCCCCATTAGGGTCCAATGGGGAGGCATTCATTATTCCCATCAAAATTACTAAAGCACTTTTCTAGGTCAGTCCCTCAGCACATTCCTGTGTCTCTCACTTCCTTGCCCTCTGCACCACATTCACTGTTGAGAGCGACTTTTCAGTTCCCCTGCTAGGTTTTCTGTCTGGGGGATGTTCTGTTAACCATGGATGCACAGCCCCCTCTACCAGCAAGTGGCAGAAACTCTACTTTTTAAAAAAGATGGTGTTTTAATTAGGAAACCCAAACCTACTTTTTTTTTTTAAATGAATTTTGAAGTAAATATCATTTTTCTCTCTTTCATAGAGATTCTTTATTCCCCAAAAGTGCTAAAACGTTCTGATTACATCTGTTCCCTAAGCTGTGGCAACTGCTATACTGAAAATGTTTTCATAGGATTTCAGCTGTTTGGGCAACACAAGAAGGCTATCACAAAGCACCAGTGGTGAAAGGATTCTTACAGCCTTCCTCAGTCCCAAATGCAGGTATAATATTTAAACAAAGCTGCAGACACATCAATAATGAAAATCTGGTGAACCACTTATTCTGGACTCTTATAGGAACGTTGAATACAGGATATCCATTAGTTTCCTGACAACATGGATTATTTATAGGCAGGACTGATAGCACCACCTATTATTAAGGTTGCTCAGTACAGCCTATTATATGACCCCTGGTTTCAGGCTTTTTATAACTTTGCCACCTGGGATGCATATTGCATACTGATGTTCGCCTTCAACAATTTTTGTTGAAAGTTCATCACTTCCAGGAGCAAGGTTGTTGACAAATGTAACTTTTTGTCCAAATTTGACAGGAATCTGGTAACCTTTCTGAAAATTTTTGTGATTCCTTATTCTACAGAAACTTGAACTTTAGCAGAAAAGGCTCTATATTTTAATTTTATGTTTGCACATAAGAAAATCCCCCAAATCTGCCCAAGCTACAAGTTTCTGAAAGGAAAAACACACCCCAGTTTTCATATGAACATTAAAATAAAAAGCATTAAAGATCTCACTGCCAGGAAGGATGAGTGACCTGTTTCTATGCATATGAATCATTCTCAACTAGTGGGCAGACATATTCTATCCCAAGGTCATGGGGGCAGGGAGGGGGAGGGGAAAAAAACCGTTTGAGAGCAGCATTGCACTAAGGCACTGGTTTCAGTTCCTAAGCATGCTCAGTCAGTCACAGATTAGGATTCTCTGAACCAACGTTGAATGTTTAATTCTACATTGTTCTTTTTTTTCCACAATGCTCTTTTAAAGCAATTTTATATGAGTGCTTTATGCCTTAAAGACCGATATCAAACAAGGTCAGACTCTCATTATTTGAGGCAGTTTAAGAGCACCCAGGAAGAAACAATCTCGTCACAGACAGTTCACATTCTGAATACATAAGAAAAATCCAGCATAGTTGGCTAAAACGACAACAGTTAGTGGCAGAGCCAGCCACAAATAGAACCCAGATGTCCTAGTTTCTGCTGGGATGCCTCATCCTCCAAACCATACTGCCTCCTCCATGCAGCATTTAATTCACTAAAAAGCCTATACCAACAAAGCAATCTAGAGTTAACAGTTGGAAACTCATGGTGTAACAAAAATGAAACCCAACTAGATTCTCAACTCACTACCATCCAGTGCTATCCACACGTTCTGGTTAGTTCTGTAAGTAATGTACAGAGAAGACTCACCCAGCTTATTGCTTTGATAAACTTCAATATAATCAAAAGTCTTAGTGATCTCCGAGCTGCAACTCACACTCAGTGAGCAGAGTTTGAAGATGTGAATCCCTTACAGAACATTAGCCTGACACTTGAAGACCAAAACGCTACAGCATAAGCTTGAGATGAAAGCAAAGGAATTCCAGTCTTTTTTCAGTCTGTTGTCACAAGATAGACAGGGCTGCAAAAAACAAACAAAGGTAAAACTTTACCTTGTGATCCATCTGTTTGTAGCATTGGCCACTTGGAAGGGTACCATATATGTAGCCATACAGTTTGTATAAGTCTGTCTACTAAAGATTAGCCTTCTCAGAAGAGTCTTTATTACCATCTGCTGTGGAATCCATGTACCTCAAACAGCAGATAAGATGGACTTCTCTTGCTGCATTTCAGTTATAGTTGCTAATAGAAATTCAGACTCCGTTTCCATCTCATGTTGTCAAAGAGATGAGCTCAAATGACTCCTTTTTGTGATTATATCAATTTATCTACTGACAGAGAAAAGTGTCTCTGTTATCTGCTTCTCATAACCCTGAGCACTCTTACTCTGTTATGCAGTGTTTCTTCCCAGCCTATGTCCATCTTTCTCATAAGGATAAAACAGCAGGAAGGGCCCATGTCTATCTACAAGCCGAAAACCTCCTTCAGGTCAGTTCATCATTCTTCCAGTCTGGGACTCTTGCAGTCGTGGGTTTCAACTGCAACTAGTAATGTAACGAGCCAACAGCAGCCTGAAGAATATTCTAATCCTACAATGAAGAGGGCTACATTAAAAGTGCTCCTAGAGGAGACGCAAGGTCCTGTCCAACTCAAAACCATACAGCATGCTACTGTGCTGTTTATGTATCATTCCCAATCATAATTCCTTTTCAAAATATGAGCATGCTTAGAGTCTACTGCTAACATGCATGTCTCTCTGGGCTAAATATGTACACAGTCATACATAGAAACATACGAAGAGACAGTTCTTGACAGAAACACCAGAGAATGCAAAACAATTAAGAAGTCTCACCCATTCAAGGAAATAAAAGAAAACAAGTCTCTGATTCATTGTGCAGTATCTTGATAACATGGATCACAGTCCCAGTGGAATCTCAGCTCTCAGCTCCTGCTGCCTTTTGTGTTTGTGAGGTAAACGTGTTCTGAATATATATATATATTTACACACACATACATATATCTACATACATACATATATTTCTCTCCCCACTAGAAAATGCTATTATCTCTAATGCCTTATCTCTAACATCTACTTCAAAGCACAAGAGCAATCTCCAAGGAAAGCTTCAGCACAGAAAAAGGGTTAAACAGTTCAGCTTTCTTTCTAGACACTATCTTCTACTGTTTCCAAAAGACAGGTAAAATCAGTAGCAAGTAGATCCAATTGGAAAAAATCAGACAAAAAGTCAGTACAGCCCTGAACACAGGAAACTAGGTAGCTAGTCAGTACATGTCTATATAGGCATGAGTAAGAAAGACAGGGATGCAACGGCATGTGGAAGTGGTTTGTATATCACACCAGGGTGATAGTAATCTACAGAAGACCAACCAGCCTGCTGTTCCCATTCAGGAGAGTAATCAGGTCACTTTCGCAATGCAGTTGGCCTTTACTGGCCTGCTGCCTATGCTGGAGTTATTCGACTGTCAAAGCACCATGCTGCTCCTGCTGCAGCCTTTCATTACTGCCAACTCCTGAATTACTGGAAAATTACTTGGCAAAACAGCTTGCGGGTAAAAAATGAGAATCTCAGAATTTCCCCGCCTCACAGACGACAAGGAATATTCCATTGCTATCAGTGTTCTCCAATAGAGAAAAAAGTGAAATTAACTCACATTGCCTCATATATGTATCATAGTTTTTAAACAGCTCTCATGTTATATGAAAAAGTGAATTTGCTGGAGACAGCCACAGGTGAACTAAAAAAATAATGAAAGTTTGGAGTACGTGAACGTACTAATATACTACACTTCATTGCTTGTGCTGTTATTCCTCTGTCTAGTTCCATTCCAAATGGAAACTGAGTTTTCAGTATTTCCCAAGGATTTTGGAAACTAGCAGTGAGATGGAAACATGCTTCGGTAAGTATAGCCTGAATTCAGTTTTTGTTTAAAAAAAAAAAAAAAAAGCAGCAAAGTTTGAATTTCAGACTAAAATGTTCCAAAGATTGGGATTTTTAAGTCACCTTGAGTTGTTTTTTTTTGTTTCGTTTTGTTTTTTCTGTTAAGGCTTTCAGCTCATATTGAAGATGCGGGGGAAATAAACAATAAGATGGTGGTTCTCATAGGAATGCACAACACTAAGTGGATTATACCCACCTGAAATTTCAGGCAAACAATGCCCTTTTTGGAAGGCATTCCAAAATTATTTTTCAGCATTTCTGCTACCTCCCAGCAGGACATTTAGGAGCATTTTTGCATCTTTGGTGGCTTTTCATATCTCAGTTTAAGAGTCATTTGTTTAGTAAATAAAGAGAGACTAATCCAAAAGCCCTGATGGAAAGTTTTACCTTTTGACCGTGTGCACAGGAGGAAGTCATTCATGTTTAGGCTTCTCTTCCTGTAGTAGATCTTCTACCAGGTTTCAAATCCTGAAACGTAAGAAGAGAAACATTCTTCCTTTACACATTGCCATTTTAGGATCAATACTTCTCAAAATAATAAAGGCTGAAAAGTATTCTTAGAAGAATCTTAATGTTTATGACAGGGGCACCCTGAAAACACAGTAGTAGAGGTTAGAGTCCTTTTTCGACATGCTAGACAGATGACAAAGCCAGTTTCTGCTAGAGCACTTACAATCAAGGTGTCAAATGGGACAGAGAAACAAGGGTGGAAGAGAAGCAAGGTAGAACAAAAAACAAAGCAACCAGAGTCAGATGAAGATATCCTTGACCAATGATGGTTTTTTCAAGAGCTGTTCTAGGGGAATATGTTACAGTGCTCTATACCAATAATGCTACTGCCAGTCTCTCAAGTAAACACGTAGCATAAACACATTCTCAATTATATCAGTACTGCAAAGTATAAATCTTTTGGAACACAAAAGGTAAAAGCCAATTTTTCAGAAAGAAGAACACAGCATGGTAGAAAACTTAGTTTTCTACCCTTAGGTTGAGGTGGGGAATTCCAAGCTGCTCTTTACACATACATTCTCTTAGACCTTTTTCTATCTTAGCTGATGTGCATACATGTTGCTATTGCGCTTTCGCCATTTCTTATCAAGCTGGGTACATACAGAAAGTAAGAAAAGCAGAGTATCTGAATAGTCTTATCAGAGGTCACGTTCAGGATAGCACAGATATTAATTAGATATTAAATGGGTTCAGATATTAAATGGGTTCCATAGAAGCAAAAGTATAAACTAAACAGTAACGACAAAAATCAATGAAGAAGTCGTATGTAAACTTTAAGTCTTCTCTGCTCTAGGCAGCTCAGTGAAGTTCTTCCACCAGCTCTCTATGAAACCTTTAAATCCATGTTCATAAATGTTCCTAGGCACAGGGCGGAAATTCAGTCAGGATTTCCAGAGTGTCTTGGAAAGAGAGAAAAATAGTTGTGGAAGTCTACAAGGAGTGTGATGAAGAATCCAGAGGCAGAAGAGCTTCAGAGTTAGCATACCTTGAAAAATTCTCCGTCATATACAATACATCTTTATATCTTTTATATACATAGGAAGTTTACATATTAATATTTGCATGATGGTAAATCGGAGGAGTGCTTCATTAGATTTGAAGGAGCGCTTCTCCTCAGGCCAGGCCTCTGGTTTGACTCAGATTGAATTACAAAGCTAAACAGAACAGGAAGGATCTGTGCTCCTAATTCTGTTTGATAGATCTCTTTGTCATTTTCAGATGCCAGATTGAAGATAGCCGCCTCTTCCTTGGCAAAGAACAGTGCTTTTAAGCTCCAGGCTATCAGAGAGAGCAAGCGCCTACAGTATGTGCACAGACTGACAGTTGCATTAAGATATTTCCTGCAGTTTCTTTAAAAACTTATGGCAACCTGCTCATTATTAGCTTTCTGTAGTTGGAAGCAGTTAAATTGCACGAGATAGAGTAAAAGTTGCAGCTAAGGGTGCTCTGGGCTCTAGCACAGCATAGTAACCACACACCTCTGCAGATGTGCTGGCTGGGGAAGTCATCATACAGGAATAGGAGCAAGATTTAGCAGACACTACATTGACTGATTGGAAAAAGTCTCCAGGAAATCAGTTTGTTTTCTCCCATTCTTTCTGATTCCAAGGGGATTTAAAGGCACCTCATCTCCATAATTGTTTCACGTTTAGTTATGATTATTGAAAGCTATTCTCCTAACTTGTTGTAAAATTCTCAAATTGCTGATTAGGAAAAAATTGACAAAAACTGACAGCAGATCTCAGAACACATGGAGCCCATTAACAGAACAAATTCATGGCTTATTTGCTCTTATCCATATTTAGTGTTCGTAGGAGGCTTTCACCTTCTGCAATTTAACAGGTGCAAGCTCAATAAATATAAAACAGACATAAACCAACGTCCACATACAGAACTGTACCAGTTTAACTAAATAAATGCAACACTGTGCATCCTCACTATTCAAATACTGTACTCAAATATGCAGCAAGCATTCCAAAAACTCTGTCCGCTACATCACTTTGTTCTCTTTAATATACTAAACATAACATCTGGAGTAAAAATAATAAAGAAGGTTCCAGAATTTTTCAGGGAGTCAGTAACCAACTGCTATTTTCCTTCAACAGTAAGTGATGCACAGGTCCCCAAGGCTCTCTGACAAACTGAAGCCTTAGAGATTTTTGATGCACTATGACAACAATATGTTGCCCTTGCAGGGGACCTTTCCCCAAAGAATTTGGGCACACAGAAAAGAAGAATATCAAACTTCATAGGCCCTCTAGAAGGAAGGTCAGCATTATTCCCATTTGACAGGAGTCATATAATCTATAATTACTAACATAGTGATATCTAGTCCTCACTGAACATTTTTCAAGGATCTCAAAGCACTTTACAGATAAAATCTGGTAGTTTTGTAGACAGAGGGACAGAAGCAGTTTGTCCAGGCCAGAACTGAGAATCTAATTAACAGCTCCCTCGTCCCATTTTCTAGCCTCTATGCTAGAAGAATCTTACCATAAGTAAATTAATTCTCTGTGTCTTAAGTCCTAATTTTTCCATGTTTATTTTTAATTCCACAAGACAATTCTTTCACAGAAGAGATGAGCTAGGAAAATAACAGTCATACATTAAATAAACTGCTATATTCAAGAAAGTACATTTTATATATGCAGTTTATAGCACCAGCACACCTGCAGCTGCTGAGGAAACCTTCTTCACTTGTTTATTTCAAATCAGACTGTTAACTGGCAAACAGGTTGGAAATTTGCAGCTGGGGGACAGGAGGAGGAAGGGATGAAAATCATGCTGACTTGACATAAATCATTGTCACCTAGAATTACTTGGGGAAGGAGGGAGTGGAGAGCTGCTCCAGTTGATTTCTAGAGGTGAGATTCTACCCCTCAAAGTGAGGATGTGAGCTAGACAAAACAAGAAATAGGTCATACTTACCTCCACTCTATTCCCAGCTTTGCCCAAATCCTCACCATCTCAACAGTATTTCAGAAGGTTGCTCTAAGTTATTATTCATCTTTAAGACCTCATCTTATCTTCAAGATTGCTAATCTGAGCACGTTCACTATCCAAGCTGATATCACAATGCAACTCGGGGACTTTGAGGAGGAAGGAGAAAAATGAACCAATCACACCGATCCTGAGGTATCACCTACTTAACAGTTGGAAAATATAATCAGTTCTAATAAGGAATCTAGAGAGACTTCTTTAACAGTCAGGATCTCTCCAGTTGGGCCAGAGGTTGAATTGTAACTCAGTTTAAGAAAAAAAAAAAAAAAGTGTATTTGTTTCAAAGGGGGCATTTAATGGACAACACAAAACATACGTGAAATGAGATAAATAATAATAGACAAATAATGCAAACAATTTCTGAATTCACATCAGCGTACTGCTGGAATCATTCCATGTGAAGCAAGGCTGCTCCCCCCAGCCCTGCGACCGTGGTGGCAGCACAGTCACCCGGCCATGGAGCGCTCAGCTCAGAGATCACAGGGCAGCTGGGCTCAAGACAAAACACTGAAGCACTGGAGAGCAATAGCAAACAGGCAGTCCCCAAAGCAAGAAAAAGATGGGCTCGTGCTCAGCAGAGTAACTCTGTTTAAGGATTTCTTAATCCCTTTTTAGACTTGGACCAGTTAGGGAGGAGGTTGTTTTGCAGTATTTTTTGCGTAAAGTACAAAGAATGTGTTGCAAAGGAAAACATTATTGGAAATATGACTTTTCCTTTCTACAAACCATTGGGTCGTTTCAAATGAGGTTAGCTGGAAAAACTGACCTAGCTGAACCAATCTGTTCTACCCTTATCTATTAGTGATGACTTCAGCTCTTTTGAAATGCATATAATTTCATCTTCTTCAAGTAATGATAGACAAATCAGCCTCAGCTCAATCAGCCTCCACTACAAGATTCTGAGGCTGTGATAGAGTATCTGAGATTATGAGATAATACATCAAAAGTCAGTCCCAAATTTCAGCTTTACAATTATCTGAAGACTGTTTAAGATCTATAGTGCAGCTGAATTTTTTTCTTAGGTTTGTTTTTGTTTGTTTGTTTAGTTAATCTGGATCTGCACTGCAATCCAGCTGACCAGCAGGGTGTATAGATTATTTCTAGCACAGGAAGGAAATAGGTAGCCAGATAAGAGGAAAAAGGCAAAGAATTATTATTTCTCAGATTAGAAGCATCTATTCAAAAATTTTAGAGACTTCTTTTGACTGAAAATTTGTATAGGAATATTTTTAGGCATTCACTTTCTTGAGAGACCGTGGCAATCTGCATGAACATAAAATGAAAAGGCAGTAACATTTCACAGATCTTAACTAACCTTAGCCTCTGCTAACATCAGCCATTTGGGACACAACAATGTAAAAGGTAACAATCACGTTTATTTCCTTAGTCCACATATCTATTCAGATCACACTATCCAAATTAAGATAAATAATTCCTAAATCTACCATTAGGATTCCTGCTCTTTTCTACTCAACTAAAATACAGTTTTTAACAACAAAGCATCTAGGGTGTTACAGCGCATCTATGGTGCATCTATAGCATTAAAGCGGAACACCAAGGAACCGAACAAGCATAACTTGCAAAGCACAGGCATGGAAATCAGGCACATGTACTAATGCGTGCATGTACTAGTGCATGGAAAAGAACTAACTGAATTGCATTACTGTTGTCATTCAAAAAAAAAAATGTAGATGTTTGTGCCATTCATGGAAATTCTAAGAGTAGTGAAATAGCCTGTAGCTTGTAAGGTCTCCAACTTCATTCTTGAACCTTTCTTGCCACAATAATGATTCCTCAATTACTTAATTCAACTTGCTCTGAATTTACTTTTGATGAAAACAAGCAAAACTCTGCTTTTAAGCTGCAACTTTTTCATTCCTTGTTGCTGCTAAATTTAAGGCTGACCACTTTTTCACATTAGGCAAGCACATTTATTCATGGCTGAGTAGATAGCAATC